GCTGGGGGGGGGGGGGAATTCTGGGAGTCGAAGTCCACCCATCTTCAAGGTGCCGAGTTTGAGAAACACTGATCTAATCTGGCTTCCTCTCGGGGAGCTCACAAGCCCTGCCGAACAAGATGGCCAACAGACTTTTGACCAAAATATTTTTCAGAGAGCCTGTCTGAAAAAAAGAAGAAGTTGCCTACCGTTTGCTGCTTAGACTAACAGCTGGAGAGTCAACTCCTGGAACGATGAGCAAACGGTTGTGTGGCTGTTGCAAAAGAAGGGCAACGTTGGCGCCCAGCTGCACTGTGCCCCCTGTGGCCTTGTCCGGCCAGCTGGGTTTCGTTCCTCAGGGAGCTGAGGGGCGAACGAAGCCCCGATGCCCTTAGTGGGGAGAAAGGGTCTGGCTGGGCCAAAAGTGGGTCAGCTTGGTTGCAGAAAGGCTTGGCGTCACGTGGGCATAAGCGTGTAGGTCTGATCTTGGATTGGTGCCAGCCGGGATCCCTGCAGGGGAAGGCGGTCAAAAAAGTCAAGATGGCAATCGCTGCAGTTGTTATTGTTGCTGGTCATATTAATATCTTTCTGTATAGGAAAAGTTTGCCTAGTGTTTCAGACAGGGAGTCCTCGTTTAGTTTTATTTCATTGTTTATTTTGGGTTGGATAATTTCATGGGGAGGATTCAAAAGCTGTCTAGAACACTGAAGAATACATCTTCCGACAGATGCAGTGGTGGCCACTCAATTAGACCTAATTCTGTGTAGAAGGTACCTAGATAATATTGTGGAGGATCAGGCTATCAGTGGCCACTAATCCTGATAGTTACACAGGTTATCCTCACTTAGCAACTGCCTTGTTTAGTGACCGTTCGCAGTTACGACCTTGATGAAAAAGTCCCTTTATGACCAATCCTCGCATTGATGACTTTCCCAGTTCTGTAAAGCAAAGGAAAGCTGAAGGAAGATCATAAGCACAGTCGCTGGTTCACTTAGTGACCGCTTCACTTAACGACCAAATTGCAAGTCCCCATTGTGGTCGCTAAACAAGGACTCCCTGTACAGGCAAGAGGATAGATTCTTATCGGAGAGCAGCTCAAATGACAATTTGTGGCAAATATTGGAACAAGAACGCTCCTAGTAGGAATGCGGAAATCTGGGTGAAATCCCAGCGAAGCTGCAGTCCCACATGCAGAAGTCATGCCTTGGCCAGTTCATTGGTTTGCACGCTGAAGGGGAATAAAACAGAGCACTGACCTCTCTCTTTCTGTCTTTCTCCCTCTCCTGCCAGAATGGGCTGCATGGAGTCCAAAGTAAGTGATCTTCCAGGAAAGGAGAAGGCAAGACATAACTCAAACTCTGTTCTGGACGTCCGTTATACAGCCGAACCCACCATCAAGGTACATGTAAGGCTGGGGGGGTGTCTCTCATTCCTGTATAAGAGAAATACTAAAACTCTATTGATGTGCCCTCAGGTAAAAGAAATTTGAAAGCCTAGCATCGTTTTATTTTTTTTATTATTATTATTTATTTAACAAATTTATATGGCCGCCCAACTCATACACAGTGACTCCAGGAGGCTTACAAGGTAAAATCCGTGCTACAAAAAAACCATGAACTCCCATCAATCAATTTTAATTTAATTGATTTGATTTGATACGGCTACCCATTCCAGGAGGCTCTGGGTGGCTTACAAAATCGACAAGGAAGAGTAAGCCAGTTTTCCCTTCCCTCCCTGTTGTACGAAGAGCGTCAAGGCAGGGCAATCTTGAGTTTCCTTCTAACCTCTCCTTCCCTTCCTGGGCTCAGTTCAGGTTTGGCTGACTGTGGCATCGCTCCCCCAGCATCATCGCGTGGCTCTAAGACGGCCTCTGCTGTTCTTTGCCTCTTAAAGTGCGAGGCTGATAGTGAAGTGTCACTGGCTTAAGGAATAACTAACTATTCTCTTTTGCATCCCAGAACAGCAGAGGATCCTGCATTCGGAAGCCCCAACGAACGGATGGTACGTATCTCCCATTAGAGCAGAGAGTAGATTCCTGGGCTTCGAGGGGGCCCGCAAGGTATGGTCAAAGAAGTCGAGATGGTGGCTGTGAGGGTGCAGTCGAGGCTCTACCTGCACGCGTATAGAAATGGGTGCTTTAATTGCACCCTCACAGCTACCATCCTGACATTTTGTTTTACCATACCCTGTGGGCATCCATGCCGGGTTCATAAACCCAGGTCCTCCTGGAGAGCATTGTTTCCTGAGAAGCCCATTGGTCGGTTGATGCCACAGAGGTCCCTTTCGGTAACGGGACCCCCTCCAGATATCGAGCGCTGAAACTTTCCTGCCAGCACAGCCAAGACAGGCTGAGACTTACAGAGCGCCTGGAGGGCAGCCAATTGGCCAAAGCTGGTTTAAAGTAAAGGGGTCCAAGCGAGGATTGTGTGGGAGGGTCTTACTCATGGATCCTGCATCGCTCGAGGCCCAGCCAGCTCTCCAATGGGGAAGTTAGATGTTGATGGAATTCCACAGGCGTGGCATGTGGCTTTTTTTAAAGGTAAACAGTCCAGAGGAGGGGGAGTGGGGTGCTGGCTTGCGTGCCTGTGCATGTCTGCAACCTTTTGCAGAACTTTTATAGAAACAATTCCCAGGCGCATCTAAGGGGTGGGGTGGGCTGGGGCAGGGTCAGAAATCTCCAGATGGTGGCTCTACCCAGGGATGGGAGCTCAGCCTCCGCTTGACCTTTCCTGCACCTGAACACGCTGCAGGGGTTTGATCGCAGGGCCACGGCGGTCCTCTTGACTTTCTCGACATCCCCCAGTCCCACACCTCTGGGTGTCCTTGCCAGTTCTCCTCTGTGGCTCACCACGGCCACAGCCCTGGTAAGACTGACCCCTGGCCCATAGCCCAAATGGGGCATGAGAGGAACGGGTTTCTCCTAGCCCTGAACGCAGGGACCCGGGAGCCTCTTGGCTCTGTTACAAGCCAGCAGATGAAGCCTGGGCCAGGGAGGATGGTCTCTATGTCCCCTCTAAACCCAGAGCTGCATGAAGGCAAACTTTTGCTCGTTCCCCCAGAACCAGATGATTTCATCGTCGTGGCCTTGTACGACTACGAAGCCATTCACAGGGAGGACCTGAGTTTTCAGAAAGGCGATCACCTCACGGTCCTAGAGCAGTAAGTTCTGGGCTCCGTCCTGTCCTTCTGTTGCTTGGAGGGTGGAATTGCTGACGGGGAAACCAAAGCCCCTCGATGCTCATAGGTGGCTTCTGGGGGAATCTGGTTGACCGCCGGCCTTATCATGTCCCATTCCGGCTGGGTCCCTCCAAGTCTGTGGCCATTCTGCCACCGTCTTCCCTGCTTAGCATTGGGTGTGGCTGTGCTATGTTGAAAGTCCAGGAGAATTTCTCCCCCAGGTCCCCCCTCCGGGATTAGCCTGCCGGAATGATATGCACCATGACCTTGGTTGTATTCAAGCGGCAACCTCCGCTGAGCATGTGGGTTACAGGGTGACTGTGAGTCAGAATGCACAATGAACAGCTCGGCTCCTGGAGCAATTTTCAGCACGCCGGGCTGCCAGCTGGAATAATGTGGGCATCTTTTGAGCATTCTGGAGGCGTACCTTATCAACCTCTCTCAGTTCTGCGTCGTTCACTGCTCGAAGCATCCTGAAAGCGTTGTTTGGCGTGGGTGCTGAGAATTCTGCCTCTAGCTTCCCTGAAAGAATGGCCGTTTCCAGTTTTCCCTGGGGAAAAACCATGCTTCTAATCCAGTTTAAATCTGTAGCCTAGATATGTTCAATGTCCTACTTGAAGCTATGACAAGGAAAGGTGGCCATCTGGACCTGTGTCCACTTGCCAGAGAAGCGCATATTATGTTGTCTCTAAGTTGACCCCCAGCTTGGTAGGGGCTGCGGAGACTGATTGATAGTATAGGTTAATGTTTCTCAACCTTGGTGACTTAAGATGTGTGGACTTAGTCTCCCAGAATGCTGGCTGGGGAATTCTGGGAGCTGGTGTCCACACATGCTGGCTGGGGAATTCTGGGAGTTGGAATCCATGCATCTTAAAGTTGCTGAGGTTGAGAAACACTGGTATAGGTCACAGATCGTTATCGTCATACATAGCAACGCTTAGGGAATACTACGTGCTTTCAAAATATACTGAAATGTCTATTGGAAGAGACACTGGTAAAGCTCCAGAATTAGATTATGTCTAGATTGTTCTTTATTTTTCTTTGGTATGCCCTTATATGAAAGCGCAGGGCAAGACTTGTTTTCCCCCAAGGCAACCTGTGAGGGAGGTGGGGTGGAGAGACAGAGAGAGGGGCCCCAGGTCCCCCAGTGAGCTGCTTCCATGGCTGAGGAGTAACCAGAGCTTGGGCACCAGACCAGCATCTTAACCACCACACAACCCTGTTCTCCAAGCGGGAAGGGAGAACGAGTGAGCGTGTTTGCCCTTGTTTGGGTTTGACGTGTGCTGGGCCGGACTGCTGCCACTCAGCTGATAGACCCCCTCGGGTCTGTATTTTGATTTATTTTTTCTGCAGGTTACTATCTGTTGCTTCTCATTGTGTGGCCTCTGTCAGGTTCAGCCCAAAGAACTCCACGAGACAGTACAGATATAGTTCTAAAGCATTTATTAGCTTTCACCTTCAAGACAGAATCCTGCCAGGCTGAATCTAAACTCCCCAAGCCAGCAAGCAAACACTGCGAATTCCTTAGGGTGGTGCCAGTCTCATCCTCTTCACCTTCCCCCGCTCTTTCTGGGGGCTAAGGAAATGCTTATCTCCCCGAGCGCCGCCTTCGCCAAACCATTCCATCACAGCCTCCCTGAATCGCATGTTGAATTACCTAGAGCAGTGTTGTCCAAACTTGGCCACTTTTAAGATGAGTGGACTTCAACTCCCAGAATTCCCCAGCCAGCATGGCCGGCCTGGGGGGTATTGGGGGTTTGGGTCGCCCACATTTCAAAGATGCAC